CAGCCAGGCTCTCAATGAAAATGAAAGGCAAAATAAGGAGTTTCCCAGACAAAAGAAGGCTAAAAGAATACACCTCCACCAAACCAGCATTGCAAGACATGCTAAAGGGACTGTTTTAAGAAGATGAAGAAAAAGAGTCTATGAATAACCACTTCCTTTCACAGTCATCAATACTGGATATTACCAATATTTTAAATACTCATTAATCTGATTGTGACAATGATGTGTTATTTTAATTGTTACTTTATTACTTATTGAAACTAATTTTTTGTTTTTGTATATTTCTTGCCTATTTCTATTATTTTTCAAAAAGCTTTAAATGACTTTTTGGTATTCTTTATCCATTTTTTGATAAACTGTTTGCAGAAATTTTTCCCTAAAAAAAACAAAACTGTTAACCCTTTTTTAGATGTGTTGTAAATACTTTCCTATTCTATTACTTGTCCTTTAACTTTTTTATATGTATATTACTGTATTATCTTAAATGTTTAATATAGTCATATTGTCAATATTTTACTTTATAGCTTCTGGATTTGAATATTTTACTTTAGGGTAAGAAAAATATTATTTTGTATTTTCTCCAAAAACTACTTAGATTTTACATATTGATTTTTAACTCACCTGAATGTTTTTTGTACAATGTGTGAAATAGGGCTCTCTATTTGTTTTATTTCAAGTAATAGTGTGGTCCGTACACCTTATTTGTTGAATAAGTCTTATTTTACCCATTCATTTGAAATGTCAATTTAATCATATATTACATTGTTAGGCAGATATATGTTTGTCTCTAGAATGTTCATTATATTTCATTGATCTACTTGATTATTTCTGTGCTGGTGTCATGGTGGTTTAATTGATGAGACTTTATAAGGGTTTTAAATTGTTTTAATATAATTACCTTGGACATTAAAAAAATAAATAAAATCAATCTGTATTTAAGAGAGAAAGAAAGAGATGGAACTGCTACCTTTTGTGACAACATGGATGAAACTGGAAAATATTAAGCTAAGTGAAATAAGCCAGTTGATGAAAGACAAATACCATATGATCTCACCTATAAGTGGACTCTATTCAACAAAATAAACTAACGAACAAAATAAACCACAGGCACAGAAACATGGAGCAGACTGAAAGTGACCAGAGGGGATGGGGAAAGAGGACAATGGTGGAAAGAAGGGGAATGGACTAGACAAAAAACATGTATGACTGACCCATGGACATGGACAACAGAGTGGGAATTGACTGTGGGAGTGGGAGGTAGGGGTGGGATGGGTGGAGAAGGGTAAAGGGGTAAAAATTGAGACAACTGTAATAGAATAAACATGGTTTATAAATTAAAAAAATAAATAAAGTAAAAAAAATAAATAAAAACAAAACAAAACAAAAAACAACAAAGCAGCCATTAGTTCTGTTTCTGAACAAAAGGATTACATAAACGAATGGACCTTATCCTTACAGAGCTCAGAAGAGAGCTAAGAGATGTAAAAGGTTTGTGCCACTGAAGATAGTAGTCTCAATGCCCATCTCATATTCTATACTCCCAAAGCCACAAAAATGCCTTTGACCCAATCATTTTACATTTGTGATTTTTTAAAGGAAATAATCTATAATATTATTTAGAAATAACTATTTAGAAATAATTTTTCAAAATAACTATTTGGAAATTTGTGCACTCGTGTTAATTTCAGTGTTATTTAACTGTGGGAAGTTGGAAATCATTTAAATATAAAATAGAGGAATGATTAAATAAATGTAGGGAATTCCCCTGTTGGAATATTAGGAGTCATTAATGTAATGGCCATGAAGACTACAAGGTAACAGAGAAAAATGGTAAGATTAAGGATAAATTTAAAAAGCAAAGAATACAACTAACTACAACTATGAAAACACTTGCCTGTGAAAAATGCTCAACATCATTAATGATCAGGGAAATACAAATTAAACCCACCACACACTCACAAGAGTGGATAAAATAAAAAAGAGTAGCAATACTGTACATTGATGAGAATGTGGAGTAAACTGAATTCTCATACACTGTGAAATAATACAACCACTTTGGAAAATGATCTGGTACTTTTCTATAAAGTTAAACATACACATCTACTCTACAACCCAGCAATTCCACTCCCAAGTAAAACATATCCACAACTGTACAAGAATGTTAACAGCTGCTTTACTCATAACATCTCCAAACCAGAAACAACACAAATATTCATTAACAGGTGACTGAATAGGTGAATTCTCGTATCTTCTTATAGTAGAATATTAATCAGCAATGAAAAGGAACAAATGACTGATTCATACATGATAAAGTTCAAGAACGGACTGAGCAAGAGGGTCCAGAAACAAAAGAGTTTACATTTGATTCCATTTATATGAAGTTCTAGAACAGACAAAACTACTCTAAGGCTAAGGTCACAGAAATAAATTTAGTGATTGCCTGGAGAAAGGGTCTGAGGAGACAAGGGAATTTGTGAGGAAAAGAAAATGTTCTAGATTTTCAGCGTGCTGGTGGTTATTCTGGTGCATGCATTTGTCAAAACTTGTTGACCTACACACCTTAAATGTGTGAATTTAAAAGCATGTAAATTATACTTCAGTAAGGGTGAGTAAATTTATGTGTGTGTGTATATGACATATAACATTGTATATATGAGGTCTGTCTGGAAAAAGTCTAGGCATTGTTAATATAACAAGAACAGTTTGCAAAACATCAGTGTAACCTGGCAGCCAAGGAGAGTGGACTGGAATACACATGCATGAACAATGATGACATCACTGTACTAGTCAGTGGGGGCAATAGACGCCATTGAGTGAGCATATGTACTGTGTGGCTGTTGCATTCAAAATTACTGAGTGAGTAGAGGAACAAATCTGCATCAAGTGTTGTGTTAAACTTGAATATTCCTTTGCTGAAATTATTCAGATGGTTCAGAAGGCCTCAGCTATGGGCAACTGGTGATTGGCAGCTTTGTCACAACAATGCACCTGCTCATTCATCACACTTCATGTGAGTTTTTTGGCGAAATATCAAATCACCCAGGTGACTCAGCTGTTCTAAGGCTCAGATTTGGAGCCCTGTGACTTCTGGCTTTTCCAAAAACTAAAATCACCTTTGGAAGGGGAGAAATTTCAGACCGTCAATTAGTTTCAGGAACATACGATAGTGCAGCTAATGGAGAATGGGAGAACTGTGTGAGGTCCTAAAGTACCTACTTTGAAGGGGACTGAGACATCATTGTATTATGTACAATGTTTCTTGTATCCTTCATTTTCTTCAATAAATGTCTCTATGTTTCATATTACATGGCTGGATACCTTCTGGACAGATGCCATATATACATTCATATACATAGACATATAAATACACACACATATTTAAATCCACAAGGAAATACTAAAATGAGAAAAGTGGTTGTGTTTCATGAATGAGATTACAGATGATTTTTTTCTCTTCTTAGACTTGCCAAAATTTTACCTGTATGGTTCTATTTTTTTATATGATAGAATAATAAGTGTTCATTAAAAAAATCTTAAGCTGCTGGGGGCAACAACATACGGTGGTCTATAGCACACTAGATTTTACTGCATTCTTGTGAAGAATGAAGTCCTGTGGATTTTTTTCCAGTACATCCACCAATCTAAATCTTCAAGCCAGGCTTAAATCTCGTATCCCCTATTAAGTCATTCATAATGTCTTTTCTGGAAACCAATACTGTCTAATATCATCCACCATCTTTTCATAGATTATTTCTCTTTAACCAAATCATGTGCTCACCAAGGGCTGGAATAATATTTTTATTCTTTGTATTCCCAACAGCTCTTAGCACAGAAAAAGCACAGTAATGTGGAGAAAATAGATCAGAACTGGCATAGAGTCACTATGTAACACAGGCTCTATACTGCAAGAACTCCAGACAAAGACACAAATGGCTCCCCTGCTGCCTGGATAGTGCCCTCGGGAATATTACAAACATAATCCTTGGTCAGAGTCCCTCTCCCATGATTTCCTAGTTTTGTTACCTTGAGGAAGTTACCTCTTGAGCCTGTTTCTGTATTTAAATAATAGGGTTGTTTGGAATGACTGAATTGAGATAGTGTGTGTTCAAAGCCTTCTGCAAACTATAACACACTTTACAATGTTAGTTGTGATGTTTCTCATAATAAATATGTTCCTGGCCTTTCTTTATCCCTTACTTACTCATCAGCTTCCACTTAGTTTCCTAAAAATTGTCAAACATGTTCCTGCCTCAGAGCTTTTGCACATGTTATTTCCTCTGCTTAGAAGACTATTGTGCCCACATCTTCCCTCAGCTAGGTTCCTTCAGGTGATTCAGATTTCTATTTCAGTGTCATTTGAGGCTTTACCTAAGCATCCTAAAATAGCTTCCACCCCACTATCATTTTCTATCTCATCACCCCATGTTATTAGTACCTGAAATTATTTTGTTTAGTGATGATTGTGACCTACCATCCCAAACCTCCTTGCGTAGAAAGTATATGTCTATTTTGTTTACTGCTGTTGTCCCCGGCCTCTGTAACATAATAGGTGCTGAAAAATCATTTAGTGAATGAATGAACAAGTACTTACTGATAACTAGGTGACAAACTGTAGTTATTCAGTTCAGTTTGCCAACTGTTTTCCAAAAACAAGAGACTGTGATGCAAACACTGCTTATTCCCACCTCTGCTGAGAGTGGGAATCCACCACTGTGGCTGAAGGAATCTGCCCAAGATGTGCCTGGCAGCCATGGGTCTAAATGTTTGCCACTGATGCTGTGCTGGGTAAGGCTCCAAGTCAGCCACCATGTGGTGAGAACACAGGGAATAAGGAGAGCATTGTGCTGCCCACAGAGATGGAGGGTTCTGAGAAGGGTTCAGGGAAAGTACCTCCCTCCAGCTGGACATAACACCTCTCCTAGCCAGGTGCTTTGTTCCCATCTCTTTTCCTCCTTTCTTTTCCAGACTGTTAGCAATGAAATCAGGCCAATCAGCCTTACCTTTGTTCCTCGTAGCTCTAAATGTGGGGTTTCTTTAAAGTTCTGGTGCTGCCGAAGAAGCCCTGCCAGCATCACAGTGGAATTCTCTAATCCATGCCAAAGATGGAGCTCATTAATTTTCCTGCCTGAGAGAAAGAAAATACTTCTTTAGGAACAAGCATGTTTAGTGTTCTGTTGAAGGAGAGTGAGGCCTCCCTGCAAGGAAGATTAATCCAGGTTTGTAGGTGGGTCATTCCGGGAAAACCCAGCACACAGCAAAGTCCTGTACACCCAAGGCCATGTGTTGCCCCTGGGCTGAGGGCTGGGTGTGGGGTTGCTGTGAGACTTGAACAGGTAGGAATGCACCCCATCTCCCCCTAAAGTGTCCACCCAGTACATTTCCAGAAAGTTCTTTTGCTTTCTCTTCCTTTTTTGAAATGTGCATGGCTTCTGGAGGGGTCACACCTGAGGCCCTGCTTTTTTACTGGAAAACAGGTGGGCCATCCCCAGTGCCTGGACCTGACACCACCAGGTAAATGGCCAGAATCTTTTTACATGGTGGTAATAATTTAACACTTTGTTTTATATTAAAACAAACAATGTGCATTTATTAACATAAAATAATATAGAAAGGAAAAAGTGAAAAATGTCACATGGGGGGATTGGGACTTCAGGTGATTTTCTACATTTTTCTTGATACTTTTTCCTATACTATCTGCATTATGTATTCATATATATTACTGTTGTGTCATAAAAATAACAATGAAATGGTTTCCATTTTTAGAAAATCTGCCTTTGTGGATATATTTTGGAGAAAAAAGCAAAAAACCACATGGGTCTTTAATTTAAACCTAATGCTTTCCTGATACAGACGGTTTAGAAGCCAGAGGTCTCCATCCTCAGTATCTGTCTTCACTTTCCCCTGCCATTAGAAGCATTGTGGTGAGGCATTTTGGTGAAAATGTTTAAAAAGCATTTCATGGTAAGTCATTAAAACTTATCATGTGAATTAGTCTAGTTCGCCTTTCTGTCTCCCTCACACATACACACACATGCACACACAAGCATGTGCACACACACGTCCCTCAGCTAGCACCCAGAACTCTGTAAGTCTGTAAACTCTCAATGGAATGACTCTAAGAAAGAATGACAGTTGCCTAAATTAAACTGGCTAAATAAATTATGCACAGGCCTGGATTTTTCTGACCACAGTGACCAATAGCAATCTGAAGAAGAGTGTCAATGGGGCTTCCAGCTAAGTTCTTGTTTCTCAAAATTGAAATTTTCTGCAGCACACATTCAGATTGGAGATTGGAGGGTTTTGTGAGCCAAGACAGTCTGCTTGATCTATTAGCTGGTTTTAGGGCCTGCCAGGCCAAAATCAGAAAGCTGAATTCAATTGCCCCCCCAGCCCTTTTTAGATTTTATTATACTTTTTTTGTTGCTTCTGATTTAAAGATCCTCTTCAAAACTCTAATGATTTTCTAAAGCTGATTAACAGAGTTTGAGAAGAGCTACATGATGATTAAGTGATTGAGGAAAAGACATGGAAAAAGGATTTAAGGAGCTGCAAATTTTAAGTCTCCTCTGGGCAGAACCCAGAGGAGGGGATATAACAATGATTTTTAAGTGCCAGGCACTTACTAATCAACTAACACACACTCTGTGAACACCTAAGAGTACACAGTGAGGTAGGAGTGATTTAGGACAGACTTAAAAAATGACTTCCCAAATCTAAAAGCAGCTTGTTGCAGAACTGGAAATCATAGGGAATTTAGAAGTAAAAACAAAAGATGTGGCCTTTTACAGGTTTTTATCATTATTGAAGAGCAATAATTCCTGTACACAGAGTCTACTAGGAAACTCAGGTGCCCAGTTATGTCAAAGCTGCCTTTAAATGAACAAGGTGATAGAGAGAAAATGTACTCAAGAGACTTTGTGGAGGAAGCAGTTCTTCTGTGGTTCTTCAAGGGCAGAGCAAAACCAAGTTCAGCCGAGCTTTGTGCCCCCACCAACAAGAGGGTGTCTGGCAAACTTGGTGCTTGATTCTAAACAAATTTGGTGCTTGGTGCTTGAATAGAATGAATGACTAAAGGCAGCCCTTGAAAGATGGAGTGGGAGGAGATGGCTCACGGTTGGGGAGAATGTGCTTTGGGCAGAGGCATAGAGTGGACATAGAAGGTAATATGTGGAAATTGAAGGGGGCACCAGGCTATGGGATTCCACAAAAGTCACGCACATGACCAAAGGTTTGATGTGATGGGAATCATTTTAGGCTCCTGAAGAGGAAGCAAGATAAGATGGAAACAGGTGGTATTAGGATGTTAGGTTTGCTAAAAATGAGCTGGATAGATTGGAAAGAAAAAGAAAAAGAAATAGGTCTTTTATAGCACCTGTATACCATTTCACTCTATTTACTTTGAAGCATTTACTGTAAGCTGACCGTTAGTCTAATGAATTACTGATTGCTTGCCCCTATCTCTACTTGGCTACAAGCTCACTGAATATAGGGTCCTATTATTTATTGTTTTCTATTGAATTTTTAGCACCTAGCATAGACCCTAGGATGCATCAGTGCTCCATAAATATTTGCTGAATGAATAAACAAACCAGAAATGGAGGGAAAGTTCTAGTCCTGAATTCTTCATCACTAGTGATCTTAGATAAGAGCCAAGATGTCTGACTAGCTAAGCCAGTTAAGGATACTTTCTGTTCAGCGACAAAAGATGAAGCCCCAGGTGCCTCTTAACTCAGTGGCCATTGAATTTTGTCTCAAGATGCCCAATGTGAGGCATCTAGCCATGTCAGACTGACCTCAGGGCCATGGAGTGTTTCTCAGGACTGATATTTCCCATCTGAGAAAGAGGGATGATTCCAGGATTCCTAGGATAACATAGCTGGGCAGCACAACTGGACAGTGCCTACAGTTCAATTAAAACACTTTTGATAGTTTACCAAGTGCTCACTGTTATCTGAGGAGTAGGCCAAAGGGGAGACCCAAGGACTCTGGAAGGTCAGTAGAAAGAAGAAACATTTCGTTAACTCCTAGGGTCTGTTATACCTGCTCATTTCCCCACTGACTTTTCCATGGGAAAGCTGAGAGGTGAATCATGAAAAGATGCCATTTTTGGAGTCTCTGAGGCTAATTTAACTTTGTCATTTATGAGTGTGAAGCCTTGAACAAGCTACTGCATTTCTCAGAATGCAGCTGCCTCACCTGTAAACCAAGGGTAACAATAATACTTCCTTCTCACGGTTCTAGTAAGGATCATTGCAAAGCACTTTACAAACAGTAAAGTGTCAGACAAACCTCATTCATCTGTTCCCCCCCTCTCGGCCTGTTTTGTTTGGAGACTCACATCTAGCCACTGGATCAATCCTCAATTTTGCAAAAGCTCCTATATCTAAGCTCACTTTCCAATATCGCCTACACAGCAAACCAAATATTCTTACCCTGGTTATTTTTTTACTGCTACTAGCAACCATAAAAATTGGTAATTTGGGTTCATGCTTGCCATCTTTTTTGGGGTGTTTTATTTTTCTTTTGCCAGTTACTATAACCTATCTACAGAGATTTTTCTTCAGGTTTATAACAACATTACTCTGGTTTTGAGTAATAATACTACAGATGTCTGGTATATCTGAGGTTCTCCACTCTAGATTTTGTCTAAAGGAGCTGAAAGGGCCCTCCATTTATGTATTCATTTGTTCATTCATTCATTCAAGAAACATTTATGAGTTTTGGACAAATAATACTGTGTTGCCCTGTTCACATCTCCTCTGCCATTCCTGTGCATACCAACAGCCTCTGATTTCAAACACCAGGAACCTTTTCCCCAGGGCTTACTCTGGGATGTGGGCTGGAAATGCCAGGAGCAGCCTTCAAACAGTGATGTATAGGAGTTGGTGAATAACTATCCCAGCATCCTTGCTTCTCACTTTGGGTAGTTCTGAGGCATAATCCCAGAGTCCCTCAATGAATTAGGCTTTAGCTATCCACAGTGGAACTTGCTGATGATGCACTGTTCATTGGCTATCTTTCCTTCCTTGTCTCACATCTTCACTTTTTTCATGGTGATTTCTGGGATTACCTTCCAAATAAACTGGTTTCACTCAAACCTTTTTCTCAAGATCTTCATCTGGGGAGATCCAACCTAAGGTGAATTTTTACCTGAATCAGGGCACTGGGCTGAGTTTTCAGGGATTATAATGATGCATCGGATAGAGCCACTGGCCTCGAGTCCACAGTCAGACGGGGAATGAGATGTGTGCAGAAATGTCAACATTGACGTGCACAATATTTCATTGTTCTAATCCTTTTGTGTTCCTCTCCCTCTGCCTCATCCCCCTCCCTGTTTTCCTCCCCACCTCTCTCTCTCTCTCTCTCTCTCTCTCTCACACACACACACACACACACACATACACACACACTCCACTCTGGTCCAGAAGACTATTAAATTCAGTGGAAAAGCCAGTCAGCTCATAAGAGCTAATTGCTACATTTTTAAGGATTTTTTCAAGCAGTTCGTGAAACACAGCCATTATTAAAAATTTAATGATTTAGTCCTGGTCCGGTAGCTCAGTTGGTTTAAAGTGTTGTCTTAATACATCAAAGTTGCAGGTTTGATCCCTAGTCAGGGTGCATGCAAGAATCAACTGATACATGTATAAATAAGTGGAAAAACAAATCAATGTCTCTCTCTCAAAAAGTAAATAAAAAAAAATAAAATATAATGTTATAAACTTACAATGAATTAGATTATATTAAAAACAAAAGTAATAATACTCAATCTATGACTCCCAAGTTACCTGACTACATTTTACTATTATATAGTCCCTGAGAATATTTATGAGATTATCTACATGGTATATAATGTTATATTCCTGTAAGCTCTCTCTACCTTAATGTTCAATGACTTAGTAGTTTGATATCAGCTATGATGGGAGTATTTACAACACATAAATTGACAAATGCTACAAAGTAGGAACACCCTCAACCACCAACCTCTGAGTGCCAATTGTTAAATATTTACCAGTGCACCAAAAATACTTTGCCTAGAATTTTGCAAAACCCTACTAACTAATCAAGGAAGCCTCCGTTACAACATTCTAACTATTCTGTACATCACTGCTAATGCAATTTTTT